CAGAGACGGTATTTGCCCCAGTTATCCAGGCTGGAATGGAGGCCCTGAAGGTAACGCTAGAGTACCCAGCAACCTCATCTGTCTCACTTTCCTCTGACCATTGCACCTCTTTGGGCTACAACACCCTTTTTCATCAGTTTTTGATGACTGTCCAGTGAGTCAGCCTGTGTGATATAGCTGGCACTGAATAAATGACAAGAGAGGGGGTTGAATGAATAATAGATAAAGGAAAGAATAAACAAATAGTCCTCTTTTCTTTCCTAGGCTGCCGAGTGTGCAGGGAAGCTGTTTCTGTTCCACACCTCCCTGCCCATTGCAGAGGCCCCAGGGAAACTGAAGAACAGAGACGACAGAAAGTTGATCAACACAGACAAGGAGAAGGTCTGGGATTGGGAGGCAGGGGGAGGACTTTCCATTGTAGAGGAGGGTGGTGACTTTTCAGAATGCAATACAGTATTATTAATTTTCGTGAGTGGCAAAGGGATATTCTACCCTTTTTCATGTCACATTTGTGACTGCAACCTTCTCCACTCTCCCCACCTTTTTATCCCATCTCATTCCAAAGTCCTGGGTATATTTCTTTTTTAAAAAAGAGAATGTTCTACTACTATTACAAGCTCCTGTGGGTAGATCAGAAGTTTACATATGTTTGAATATTCCATATTACATACACAGTTCTCATGTATAGTGTAACACATATTTGAACATTTTCTTCTTTTCCTCCCCAGACTCTGTTCCAGCCTCAGACAGGTGCTTATCAGACCCTGGCCAAAGAGTGTGTGGCCCAAGGTTGCTGTGTAGACCTCTTCCTCTTCCCTAACCAGTATGTGGATGTGGCCACGCTCTCTGTTGTACCCCAGCTCACTGGCGGCTCTGTCTACAAATATGCTTGTTTTCAGGTATGGCATGGGACTCTGGGTGGCATGTGGAAGCAGGACAGGGAATCTCTGCCTGCATGTGGAGTGGCTGTTTAGCTACGGACTCATTAATAGGAATAGTGTTAGAAAAGAAGACCGCGTAATGTAAAGAAGGGAGCCATGAGTAGCAGTTGGGAGCATGGGGCTTAGAATCGGTCCTGGGTTGATATTCTGGCCCAACCACTTACTAGCTGTATGACCTTTAGGAAATTAAATATTGTGTCTTTGTTTCTTGATCTGTAAAATGGGATTTTAATATTAATTAAAGTTAATATTAATTAATTAGGATTTGTCATCAGAATCAAGTAATTATATGTAAAGCATTTGATGTGGTACCTGGCATGTAATGTGCATAAAAGCTATCATTATCACGAACATCATTATCATCTTTACTGTTGTTGTTATTACGATTTAGCAGCCTGTAGAGTGGAGGAGGTGCAGGGAGATTGTCTACAGGATGTAATGTGGTGTCACTTTGGGCCTGATGGGCTGCAGGTGGAGAATGACCAGGAACGGTTCATGAGTGACCTGCGTCGGGATGTACAGAAGGTTGTTGGCTTTGATGCCGTGATGCGGGTCCGAACAAGCACTGGTCAGTCCTGGTTGGAGAAGAGCAGGTGGGGGGCTCAATGTGGGAGGGAGGCAAGTGGCATCTGTCATACCTTCAGCCTGATCCTATCCATGTGGCCTCAGGTATCCGTGCTGTAGATTTCTTTGGCGCTTTCTACATGAGCAATACAACAGATGTGGAGCTGGCTGGGCTGGATGGGGACAAGACAGTGACTGTGGAATTCAAGCATGATGATCGACTTAATGAAGAGAGTGGAGCCCTCTTGCAGGTGGCAGGCGGGAGACAGGGATGGGGGAGGAAGTCTCAGGTGTCATTTCATTGGATATAAATAGGCTTCAGGAAAGAGGGTGAGGGGTTGGTAGAGAGGAGTAGAAGAGGATGGGAAAGGGATGGCTCATGCCTTTCCTGTCGTTTAATGATATAGCCAAGGAGCAGTTTCTCAGAGGGCTTTGGTGAGGAAGGGGTTTGAACTCCCCCTTTCTCTCTTCCCCTAGTGTGCCCTGCTCTACACCAGCTGTGCAGGTCAGCGACGGCTCCGTATACACAACCTGGCCCTGAACTGCTGCACCCAGCTAGCTGATCTGTATCGAAACTGTGAGACTGACACACTCATCAACTACATGGCTAAATTTGGTGAGGAGAGAGGCAGGGCAGGGTGGGATTTGGGCTGAAAAAGGTGATAGTCAGCAAATCAGTATTCCCAGGTAGGTGTGGTGAGAAGGCACATGTGATGGAGTGCCTGACCAGTGACTGTGCTATTTCTCTTTCTTACCCAGCATATCGGGGTGTTCTGAACAGCCCTGTGAAGACTGTTCGTGACACTCTTATCACCCAGTGTGCACAGATCCTGGCCTGTTACAGAAAGAACTGTGCTAGCCCCTCCTCTGCAGGACAGGTGGGGCAAGAATATTGGTGGAAGAGTTTTTGGGACAAATGTTTGCATTTAGGAGGGATTTCTTACGTTTATTGACTTTATCTTGATAACTCCCCTCAGCTGATCCTTCCTGAGTGCATGAAGCTACTCCCAGTTTACCTTAACTGTGTGTTGAAGAGTGATGTCCTGCAGCCTGGAGCTGAAGTCACTACTGATGACCGTGCCTATGTCCGACAGCTGGTTACCTCCATGGATGTGGCTGAAACCAATGTCTTCTTCTATCCTCGGCTCCTACCACTGGTGCGACCGAGGGCTGGAGTATGAGACATTGCTCTGAGAAAGGGGTGTCATAGAAAGAGGATAGAAAAGATTAGTATTATCTGTGTCTACCATTAATGAATTTGTTTTTACCTATACTATCTGAATTTTCACTGAGAGAATTACTGGGGGACTTACCTTTCTGAAATGTTTGTGTGTGGAGGGTGGTAAATGTGTCTTACGGTCCTCAGTAACATTTTCCCTCCTTTTGTCTAGACAAAGTCTCCCATTGAGAGTACCATTGAACCGCCAGCAGTTCGAGCATCTGAAGAGCGTCTAAGCAACGGGGATGTATATTTGCTGGAGAATGGGCTCAACCTTTTCATTTGGGTGGGAGCAAGTGTCCAACAAGGTGTTGTCCAGAGCCTCTTCGGCGTCTCCTCCTTCAGTCAGATCACCAGTGGCTTGGTGAGAGCAGGGCATCAAGGAGAATATGGGTGTGGAAATGCACTTTGTGACAGGAACCAATAAAGTTAGTGTGCTAGTCCCCTTAAATAGTAAGGGACACTAGGGAGGGGAGGGAGGGTGCTGTCATTCTTCCCAAGCTTCCTTGTTTCAGATGATGCATAAATTTGTGCTGCCCCATCTTGACTGGACTCAGGAGTCCCTTACCATAAGGATAAATGAATTTTGTGTTCCACCAGAGTATTCTGCCAGTTCTGGATAATCCACTGTCCAAGAAGTTGCGGGGCCTCATTGATAGCTTAAGGGCACAGAGATCGCGGTACATGAAGGTAACACTATCCCGACCCTTGGATTTTTTTTTACCTGGTCAAGTCCTCACCTGGAAGACAGGAGGGGAGGAGGTGGAGAGTGAGTGACTGGATAATGGGATTTCAGGGCATGTTTAATTTCCATTGGCTCTGCCTCATGGTCCTGTGTTCTGGCTATAGCTTATCGTGGTGAAACAGGAGGACAAGCTGGAGATGCTGTTCAAGCACTTCCTGGTGGAAGACAAGAGCCTGAATGGGGGAGCATCCTATGTGGACTTTCTCTGTCATATGCACAAGGAGATTCGGCAGCTACTGAGCTAGAGCACGTGGGTAAATGGCATAGGGTCCTAGGCCAGTTTCCAGAAAGTACCCCAGGGTAGCAGGGAAACCAGGACAGTTCCATATTTTATAAGTAATGTAAGCTGACCTCAGTCTCTTTGGGGGGAGGGGGAGGTATAAGGAGACACCTTCTTTCTGGGCTCAAGTACCCTACCACTCTGTCATGTCCTGCTGATGGAAGGTGCCCCTGTCCCCTCACTTTGCCTTCCTTTTCCTGCTAATCCTGTCGTAATGAATGTAGTTTCTCAGTTCACTGTATATGATTCAGTGTTGGGGGATTTGGAGGCACTCAGACCCTGGCAATATCGTGTCCTTTTGGACCAACCTCCAAGAAGAGGAAGCACACAGGAAGGAGTGGGGATCCCAGGGTTACTATAGGGGGAGGGGTAATTCAGCTCAGTGCCATCAACAACTTCCTATATTAGGGATAAAACACAGGTGCACAAGAGCTGGAGTATAACCCTGAGGTGGTGGGGAGAAAAGTGGATGGTACTCGTTGGGCCTGGAAGTCAGCAGCCAAGTCAAAATTACTGAGGGCAGTGGATTAGCTTTCTCTGCTTCCACTGCTTTTTTTTTTCTGTCCTTCAATGATTGGTGATCAATATGTGGATAGAGGCACATTGTCAGAGGTGAAGGAGCCTGGGAACTGAGTTGCCAAGAATATAAAGGCCTGGGAGAGGTACCAGCCTCCTTTGCAGCGGGAGAGGCCCCAACACTGGATGGTTCTGTAGGAAGCCTGGTCATCAACTTGTAATACCTCACAGAGCCAGCCCACATCCCACTCAGCTCCCACTGGAAACACTGCTTCTCCAAGATAAGGGTTGTTGGGGAGCAAGGCAGAGGTGGCCAGAGCTCTGTTTTCTCTTCCTGAGACACCACTTGGGCTTTGGTATTGACAGAGTGGCTGACAGTTACCTTCCAACCCAAACTGGCTGGAGCAGGACAAGGGCTAGCCTTGATGGTGGTCAGGCTTGCTCCCAGCCTGCGATGCCCCTGCTCTGGACTTCTCATTTCTCTTCATTGGTTTATTTTTCAATGCATCTTTAATTTGTAAAGAAATAAAATAAATTAAGATGTAACCAGTAGCTTCATTTTTACCACTTATCACTTGCCCTCCAGTCCTTCCTGCCAGGCGCAATAGCTCCTGGGAAGTGGACGGCTGAGAGGTGCTGCGCATGCGCCATATGACCCTGTGGCAAAGGGCCGCGTTCCTGTTACGACTCTTGAGGGGTGGGGTCTGGTGCTGCGGCGGGGGAAACGGGGGGCTGGCTGCCAGAGCGGACATGGCGGCCCGCTGCACCCGGCCTGTGCTTACCGCCCTGGGAATGCTTAGCGTCTGTGTGGCCAGCGGCCCTGGGCCAGTGATAGAAGGGGAACCGGGTGGGGAAGCGGAGTGGGCGGAGCCATGGGATGGTGCCGTTTTCCGGCAGCCGTCAGCACTGGGTGCAGTGGGGGTGGCACGCAGTACGGGGACTTTGTGGCCAGAGAGGGAGGAAACAGTGGACTTGCCGGTGCTGCTGTGGTGGAGCCCCGGGCTGTTTCCCCACTTCCCGGGTGACTCGGAGCGCATAGAGTGTGCTCGCGGCGCGTGCGTAGCGTCCCGAGACAGACGGGTGCGGGGGGACTCGCGCACGCGCGCGCTGCTCTTTTACGGCACCGACTTCCGCGCGTCTGAGGCGCCACTGCCGCGTCTGGCCCATCAGAACTGGGCGCTGCTGCACGAGGAGTCGCCCCTCAACAACTTCTTGTTGAGCCATGGTCCGGGCATCCGCCTCTTCAATCTTACCGCCACCTTCAGCCGCCACTCAGACTACCCGCTGTCACTGCAGTGGCTGCCCGGAACTGCTTACCTACTCCGCTCAGCGCCTCCGCTCCAAGAACGTGCGGAGTGGCGCCTCCGCGGGTATGCGCCGCTGCTCTATCTGCAGTCCCACTGCGACGTTCCTGCAGACAGGGACCGCTACGTGCGCGAGCTCATGCGTTACATCCCGGTGGGTGCGGGCGTGGCGGGGCTAGGAGGGGTGGGGGCGCACCGGGCTGAGGCCAGGACCCCTCTTAACCGCTGTATTCTATCGCGCTCAGGTGGACTCCTATGGGAAATGCCTGCAAAATCGGGAGCTGCCCAATCCACGGTTACAGGACACAACAACAGCCACCACGGAGGATCCAGATCTCTTGGCCTTCTTGTCTCGCTATAAGTTCCATTTGGCCCTCGAAAATGCTATCTGTGACGACTACATGACCGAAAAACTGTGGCGCCCCATGCATCTGGGTGCTGTGCCTGTGTACCGCGGCTCTCCCTCTGTGAGGGACTGGATGCCCAACAATCATTCCATCATCCTCATTGATGATTTTGAGTCACCTCAGAAGCTAGCAGAGTTTATTGACTTTCTGGACAAGAACGATGAGGAATATATGAAATACCTGGCATACAAACAACCTGGGGGCATTACCAACCAGTTCCTTCTGGATAGTCTGAAGCATCGGGAGTGGGGAGTGAATGATCCTTTACTGCCTAACTACCTCAATGGTTTCGAGTGTTTCGTTTGTGATCATGAACTGGCCAGGCTGGATGCTGAGAAAGCCCACGCGGCCTCTCGTGGGGACATCCCTGTCCCTGAGCCTCACATCGCCCAGCCCTCACACATGGACTGCCCAATGCCAACACCTGGCTTTGGCAGTGTGGAAGAGATTCCTGACAGTGACAGGTAAGGGAAGCTGGGGTCCCCTGCAGCCATCAAATCAAATGATTACTTGCTTACTGTGGGCAGTGGATTAGCACTAGGTACTGAGGGGATGTATTGGGTTCGCCAAAAAGTCCGTTACGTTTTTTTTCTGTATGATGACTTTAGTAGTGCTTAGTTATCTTTTTAAAAATATTTTATTATTTATGCTATTGCAATTGTCCCAATTTTTCCTCCTTTGCCCACCTCTACCCAAAACCTCCATCAGGCAAACCCCACACCATTGTTCATGTCCATGGGTCATGCATATAAGTTCTTTGGCTACTCCATTTCCTATACTGTATTTTACATCCCTATGGATATTCTGTAACTACTTATTTGTGCTTCTTAATCCCCTCCCTTCCTCACCCAGTCCCCTACACCCCCTTCCACCTGGCAACCATCAAATCGCTCTCCATATTCATGATTCTTTGTTCTTCTGTTTGCTTAGCTTTTTTTTAAGAGTCAGTTGTTGATATGTATTTTTGCCATTTTATTGTTCATAGTTTTGATCTTTTTCTTAAATAAGTCCCTTTAACATGTCATATGATAATAGTTTGGTGATGATGAACTTTTTTTTTTTTGCCTGGGCAGCTTTTTGTCTGCCCTTTGATTCTAAATGATATTGTTGCTGGGTAGAGCAGTCTTGGCTCTAGGTCCCTACTTTTCATGACTTATTTCTACCAGTCCCTTCTATCCTGCAGTTTCTTCTGAGAAATCAGCTGACAGTCAGTCTTATGGGAACTTGCCTGTAGGTAACCAATTGTTTTTCTCTTGCCGCATATCAGTGTGTATTTTTAAAAAACTTTTCAGAATTGGTGAATTTTTGTGTAGCCATTTTAATGTTGATGTTGGAAGAAAATATGCAACATTTTCTGCATATTATGCTTTATCGTTTCAAGAAAGGTAAAAACGCAACTAATATACAAAAAAAAGATTTGTGCAGTGCATGGAAAAGATGCTGTGACTGATGAAATGTGTCAAAAGTGGTTTGCAAAGTTTCTTGGTACTGTTGAAATTTTGGCCAATTAATCCTTTGCTGTGGGTCTGTCTTACACATTGGAAGATGTGTAGCAGCACCCCTGGCCTCTACCCACTAGAAGCCAATAGCAGGAGATAGCTAACATACTCAAAATATCCAGGTTAATAAAGTTACTTGTAAAAATGAAAAATGTGTTTTTATTTTACAGAAAAAAAGTATGGACTTTTTTGGCCAACCCAATATAAGGAAATTATGACATAGGAAAACTCTGCCTTTAAAGTATAAAGAGTCTATTTGGGGATATAAGACAAAGTGAAAAAGCTCAGTAAAGATATAACATCTAATTCAAGGCAACAACATATGAAAATGAGCTTATGTAGACAGTGTTTGCAATAGTAGCTCAAAAAAGGTATCAAGACAGCCCCATAGCAAAGGGTTATTTGGCCAAAATGTCAATAGTACCAAGAAACTTCACAAACCACTTCTGATACATTTGATCAGTCACAGCATCTTCTCCATACACCTCACAAATCTTTTTATGCATTTGAGTTTTTTACCTTTCTTGAAATAATAAAGCATAATACGCTGAAAATTTGCGTATTTTCTTCCAACTTCAGTATTAAAATGGCTGCACAAAAATTCATCAATTTTGATAAGTTTTTTAAAAATGCACACTGATATGACACCTGTCACAATACAATCTAACAAAATTGTTTAAAATGATGTTAAAGACAACTAAGCACTACTAGAGCCATCTTAGTGAAAAAACTGAACAAACTTTTTGGCCAAGCCAGTAATTAACAATGGTGGGCAGTATGGATTAAAAGTGAAGGAGGCTACTGCAGTAAATGGCAGAATGTAGTACCACTGGAGAACAAGGTCATCATGGGAGGTGGAGTGGGAAGCCACTTGCAGCAAACCACACCTGTTGGGGAAGAGGCAGTAAAAGATTATTAAGCTTGGGAAGGACAGGTTGCTAGAATGGCCTGCAAAGATCGACCTTGACAGTGGATGGCAGCAGAGGGCTGTTTATGTGTGCTGTTGTCACAGTTTGGTTGTGGAAATGAAGTCCTTCATCAAATAATTTGTATCTAGTTTATGCTGAACATAATATGACTTACTAGAGGAAACATGTAGAACAATGTAAACATTTAAACATTTTTTGGTTATGTCTTAATCTGGACATTGGATGCCACTGCACCTTCATTCTGATTATTGAAATAAAGGTGCAATTTAAAAGGTAACTATCTAAACAATGCTCCCTGGCTTTCTTGAGGGAGACAACTGATTCCCTAATCTGGCCCCTGCCCTGCCTTGCCTTTAAACTCCCTCCATATTTGGGAATTAGGTGCAGGCAAGTCAAGAAGTTTAACTCATTGGTTGGGCTGTGTGATACGTTTGTGTTTGTGGCTTAACTGCTTGTCACCTGAACTAGAACTGGATTTACTTCATATTCCTTCCCTTTAAAGCAGAGCGCTGTGTTAGCCAGAGGCCACTGTATGTGTTTAAGACTTTGTTGGTTCCATTCAGAGAAAAGCAGGACTCAATTGCTATGCTGAGATTTCATAATCCACCTCTCGTTTGATATTTCAGCTGGAAGGAAATGTGGCTGCAAGATTATTGGCAAGGCCTGGACCAGGGAGAAGCCCTCACTGCTATGATTCACAACAATGAGACACAACAGAAGAAATTTTGGGACTACCTACATGAGATCTTCCTGAAAAGGAACCAGAATCTCTAATTACTCTGCAAGATCTTTTAATTTGGTAGAGCTAAGGAGATGGAAGTCATTCTACCATAGGACATGAAGGACATGTGCTGCACAAATTCTTAATGAACCCATTATCCTGAATTCAAGGGATTCCAGTTATATCCAGTGATGTTTTATCCTTACGATGTGTAGTCAGGGCCTCAGCCTGTGGTACTAGGGCCTCTCCTAAAGGAGAAATGAAGGCATCCATTTCTCAGTTTAGTGAAAAACAGAAGCCTGAAACATCCATTTGATTCAAGGTGCTGATCCAACAGAATTTTTAAAGAACTGCTTATTTTGCTAGCCATTTCATCCTCTCAATTATGATTAGAATAACACTTTAATACTTAGCTACAAATGAGGTAAGATTGACCGGGTTTAGGGTCTTAAAACTTCTGTGCTATTGTGCAGAATAGCACTTCTGCTATTCTTCAAATCCCTTCTTCAGTTCCTTTCCTAATCTCTTTTCTAGATATTCTGCTTTATACTGTTATGTTGGTGAAGTAGAATTCCTGGTGGGTTGTATTCTGGTTCTCTAGAGTTGTATTATATCATTTACCTTGATTTTCATGTCAGACCTTTTAAATGTTTTTCCCCCCTAGTTTCCCACAATTTCTGATGAAGATGCAACAGTCCTGCCACCATCCCCACATTTATTCTTCCCTGCATTAAACAGGCTATAGATTTAGCAGCTTTGCTTTTTATCTAAAGAGTACCTGGAATTCCTTCTCACCTCACAAACAGAAAGATTCAGTGGCTACTATGTGCCATGTCAATTTAATGAATTGTCCTGCTCTATTTTAGGTTAGAGATGGAGACTGAGGCTGGAAATGATGGCAGGAAAAAATATATATAAATACAAACACACACACACACACGTACGTACGTGTGTGTGTGTGTGTATAAACCATTTTTAAATATTAAGAGACCAATGTGAATCAAAGTGAATTTTTTATAGGTCTTTGTTCTTTTCTGTCTAATGAAGTCTTCCCACTATTTTATTATTTTTATGGTACAAAAGTCCTCTTTCCCCCAAATAGTCATGAACATTGTGGTGGAAAAAACAGCCCAGCAATATAGCTCTAGTAATTATCTCATATTCTGTAGCACTTTTCAAGTGGGCTGAATATTCTAATTTCATTCTATTACTGATATCCTTTTATACACTTTATAATATTTCTGAGATTACACTTTGATGAAGCCTACCCAAGGCCAAGGGGATGAGAGCTGAGGAAAGAGGTATCAGCCACCACAAGTGGCTGGCTAAATAAGCTGTTAGGCGCTGCCCAGGTAGCTCAGTTGGAATAGATTGTCCCAATACACCAAGGTTTCAGGTTCAGCTGCTGGTCAGGACACAAACAAGCAACCAATGAACCCATAAATAAGTGGAAGAACAAATTGATGTTTCTCTCTCAAGTCAGTAAATTAAAAAAATTTTTTAAATACTTAATGTTAAAATTTGATACAGCACGGAGCCACAAAAGAAGTAAAAATTCAGGACTCTGATTTCTAAGCTTGCAATTGTTCAAATGCAAATGCTCACTTATAGTGCAAAATACTAGTACCCAAGTGCAAACTTAGGTTAAGACTAAAATTTCATTTTGAGCAGTAAAAAGGGTAAGTCATTGTTATACAAGGTGTAGAATCATCCTTACTTTTCCTGTCTTAATTATAGCAGTTGACATTTACCATTCCTTTAGCACTTAAAAAAGAATATTCCATTTATTTATTTTTAGACAGAGGGAAAGAGAAAGGAGGAAAGATCAATGTATAGTTGCCTCTCATGTGCCCTGCACCGAGGAGCCTGGCCAGCAACCCAGGCATGTGCCCTGACTGGGAATCAAACCAGCCACCCTTTGGTTCCCAGGCCGGTGCTCAGTCCATTAAGCCACCAGCTAGAGCTCCTTTAGCACTTTTATGTACAAAGTGGGCTAGCTGTTTATGAATGATTGTGCCTGGAGACTTATGCTTGTTTTGTGGTCAGTACTTCCCAGACTTTTCCCTTTTATTCCCATGGCCATTAATGTGTTCACAAAAGAGCAGGGTAAAACAGGTGTTATATTTCCATAAGGGAAGCAGAGCCAGAAATAACCAGGTATCACTTATCAAGCTAAAGACTTACTTTCCCCATGGAGAAAGCAAGCAATGTGAATGAATTTTCTCTGGTTTTGAGGCATAGCCTGCTCTGTATACAGCTGCAGGCTTGGGGCTATTGGTGGTAGAAGTTTCAGATAGGAATCAGGTTTTGCTGGGTTTTTTTTTGGTCTGCTGGAGAAGGGATGGAGCACGGAGCTGATGCTCTTATTACTCCAAGTGTTGCTATTTTCTATTATGTCAGGCTTCTTTTTGTATAATAAACAGCTAATTTTTAAACTGCCTTCTGCTTGATAATATTTCTGTGGTGTGATACAGTTGGGTATTTACAAAAATATTTCAAACATTTGTTCATTTTACAAGTACTATTCACACTTCTGGCACTGGGGATTCAGCAATGAACAAACTAGACAAGATCCCTTCTCACGGTGTTTACATTTTAAATGGATGTCAGTAGTAAAGGTGTGAACAAGCAATAAATGAACAAGATAATTCAGACAGTGTTAGGTGCTATGAAGAAAACGGAAGCGGTTGTGGTGATGGGGTGTAAGAAATTATTAAGGAAGGCCTCTCTGACATGAACTGAGACTCAAGAAAGGAAAAAGAGCCAGTCATGCAACGGTAAATGGGAAGAGTACAAACATCTGTGATAAATGCTTTTAGCACACTACATTTACACAACCAAATAAATATTGCTCCTCCAAAATAGTCACCTTGTGAACTACAGGATTGTTTAAATTATGCTTCCATTACCAGAAACATCTCCTGGGGCTCATTTGTAAGTTTCTTGAGAATCTGTGGCTCATCTTTGGACTGTTTTGCAAACAGTTAAGTCACTTAGAATCAAGTCTGATGAAGCCATGCATCACAACTCAGGTCAAGTCGAGAAATAGGAATGATACTACCAAGTATCTTCACAAGATTGGTAAGAGAATTAAAAAAGAAGGCGAATGAAAAAGTGCTTAAACTTCACCCTACCCAATGAGATCACTACAAATGAGCAAACGACATCTAAACAGTAGCAGCTGTTTATTTTTTGTAAAGATTTTATTTATTTTTAGAGAGGGGAAGAGAGGAAGATAGGGAGAGAAACATTGATTGGTTGGCTTTCCCAAGCCCCCAAACCGGCATCAGCCCGCAACCCAGGTATATGCCCTAACCAGCATCAAACCAGTAACCCTTTGGTTCGCAGGCCAGCGTTCAATCCTCGAAGCCACACCAGCCAGGGCAGTAGAAGCTATTTAAATAAATGAGCCCAATTTTTCCTTGTGGGTGGTCCTAAAGATAGTCAAAACCAACAGTTACTGAAAACATTAAAACGTAACAAAAATATTTCCCAACCTAACACCTTAAAGTCTATTTTGATTTGCTTCCGTTCACTTTGGCCTTGCTTATATCAATCACTTTAGTCCAGCCAGGTAGCACAATAAATACAGTGTTCATTTACCGGGGCCCTTTCCTGGGTGTTCCCGGCCCAGTACTGCCCCGAGACATCCGGGCTCGGAACCTACAACGAGTGACCGAACTCACTGTATGAGACCCAAAGATTCTCCTAACCTGCACAAGGGCCTGTACCGGACGATTGTCCCAGCTCACGTTCCGGGCGAGCCCGTCCAGAAAAAACGGGTACAGCAAATACGCCACCGACCTTTCCGCCGGCCACGCACAGAGCCTTGTCGAACTCGTAGGGGTCACGCAGGGTCACGCAGGGTCACGCACGGCGCCGCAGGGCCTGCCGGGAGCTTGGTGCGCAATGGCGACACCCAGCCTTCGAGGACGCCTGGCGCGGCTAGGAAACCCCAGAAAGCCTATACTGAAGCCTAGCAAGCCTCTCATCCTAGCTAACCGTGTCGGGGAACGGCGCCGGGAGAGGGGCGGTGAGCAGACGGAGCCGAGGAAACTTCAGTGCAGGGGGGCTGGGTGGGAGGGCTGAGAGGTGAGGGTCTCCTTGTGACTGAGGGTTCCCCCGTTTTTGCTCTCCAGAAGCGACCTGTATCACGGAGATGTCGGTGATGATGGCTTGCTGGAAGCGGAATGAATTTCGCGACGAAGCGTGCGGAAAAGAAATCCAGGACTTCTTCGATTGTGCTTCGAAGGCTGAGGTGAAAGAAGGTTTCTGGAGGGCCGTCTTGGGAGGCTAATGGAGTTGTGGGTAGGGGGGGAATACAAGTAGTGTTTTTCCCTGTCTTTTGTTAGATGATGAGAAAGCTCCTCTCATTCTAAAAGGACGAGGAAAGTTTTGGGAGCTATTTCATCCATGCCAAAGGGGAAAAGGTTACGATTTTGAAGACATTGCGGTCTTGAGCTTTAGCTTTACCAGATGTAAAATGAGGTTAATAGTTAATACTCACCTTACAGAATTTTGTGTCAAATGAAGGAACGAATGGGAAACCACTTTGTAAAATTTAAATTGCTGCTCCAATAGACATTATTCTCTGAAATAGAACTAAAGATGGTGAAGGACAGATTGTTTGGTTTCCAGCCTAGGCTTAGCTGTTAGCTGGCATGGTAGCTTCGGATCCTGCAGCCATTTGTAGGTTCCACGTCCTTTTTGTTGAAAGGGGACTGAGATGACACAGACCTCCCCAAGCTGGTTAATATCTTAATGTTTTGGGGCACTGTGATCCTGACCTATTGCCTTAGGTCCGGACAAACTTTAGAGTTGTTTCTTTTGTTTCGTTTTCAGGCAGCCCGAAAGATGAGATCAGTCCAGGGAGAGTATGGGAATTTACCCCCTAAGAAAGTGAATATGTTGTTACAGAGGTTTCCTAACAAACCACACATCAGCTGAAAATGGGGAAGCATTTTCAGTGACTGGACTGTAGCTTCTGAAAACTATGCAGAGGCATTTTAGAGACATTCGCAATGCTGTGTTCTATTTGAAGGGTAAAAGGAGGCAAAACACTTTTTTCATGCTTTGGAATTATTGTCTGGGAGGAAGTTATGCTTTATCTTGAAATAAACTCCTCTGAAGAGAACTTGGCCTTTTGTTGTGGATTAGCAACTCCCTCCATACTTGAATCCTGTATCCTTCCCTAAACTCTGGAAGTTCTTTGCTCCTTGGTATGCCTCAGGAGCAGGACAAAAACCATCATTTTATCCTGCATCTGAAGTCCTTTACAACATTTAGCGCCCTTGCCTTTGGATGCACTAAGGATGCCTATAGATTATCACATGTTTTTTTGTTGGGTTTTTTTTTTGCCATCATCTGTGAGTATTTAGTGACTACCTATGTTGTGCATAGCTCCTGCAAACTAGTGATCCAAAAGTACTGCAGATGTATTTTATTTGGCTCACATAGTTAAAAATTTGTTTTTATATTAGCTGACCACATTGAAAACCAGGAAAAATGTCATTTCATTTTATTTTAATTTAATTTAATTTATTTTTAGAGAGAAGGGAAGGGAGGGAGCAAGAAGGAGGGGAAAGGGAGGGAGAAAGAGGGAGAGAAACATCAGTGTGTGTGATTGCCTCTCACGCACCCCGTACTGGGGACCTGACCCACAACCCAGGCATGTGCCCTGACTGAGAATCGAACCCGCAGCCCCTTGGTTCACAGGCCAGCACTCAATCCACTGAGCCACACCAGCCAGGGCTCATTTATTTTTTTAAAATATTTTATTTATTTATTTTCAGAGAGAGGGGAAGGGAGGGAGAAAGGAAGAGAAACATCGGTGTGCAAGAGATAACATCGACTGGTTGCCTGTTGCACACACGCCCCCAACGGGGAACCTTACCTGCGACCCAGGCATGTGCCCTGACCAGGAATCGAACTGCTTAGCTTCCAATTCGCAGGCTGGCACTCAATCCACTGAGCCACCCACACCAGCCAAGGCAGGAAAATGTCATTTAAAAAAAATCCACTTTTTAGCTTTTCTTTAAAAACAAGGAAAAGGTCTGGCAATCCTACTTTCTCATTACCACATGACAATAATCAAATACAGCTGATTATTGTTCCTCTCCATTTTCATGGGCCTGTCCATTGGACTCCCCAAAATAGTGCAACTGAGCCTTAATTGGCAGTTACCTTCTTTGTGTGTCACCTCTCTACCTCTCTCATCCACTCAGATGCTGAAGGCATTTATTTTTGTGACCCCCCCACCCATGTTAGAAACAACTGTATAGCATTTTATAAATCCTCTGTCTTTTCAGCTATAACTGATTTAACGTTTGCACCTTCCAGCATTATTTGGACAAGGAGATAAGTGGGGTTTTTAAAGCTCCAGCGGGATAATTAAGATAAAGGGTCTTGCCTCCCTGATCCTCCACAAGCCCCTCTACCTATAGTCCTCATACTCCATGGATAGAGCACTGAGCAATTGTCTGGTTCTGCAAGTTGAGGCTTTTAGCTATAGGAAGAAGTTAAGTGGTTAAGCCTCTAAACTTTGGCCTAGACTTAGGAGTCCTTAACATAGAGTCAATAGACGCCCCAGCAAGAGATCTGTGAACATGGGTGGGAAAACACACTTATCTTTAACCACAACTGATTTAGCATTTTGGTTAGGACTGTGAAATAAACCACAGTGTCATTAAAAATACCTATATGAAATCACGGTATTTTCATATCCTATTACAGTTTGTTACAGGTACTTCAGTATCATTTATATTCATCACTGGCTTCAAAATTATTGTAACTATTATTGTAGCTATTACTGCTGGATCTTATGTAATGCTTAAATAAATATTACTATGTTACAAATTTATTAAATTTTGATAATTGTGTTTCAACATAATTGCTTTCCTTTATATTCTTGTAATTTTATTTTGTGCATTTATAAACAATCCGAGAAGGGGATCCAGGGAATGCACCAGGCTGCTGAACGGTCGGGGGCGCACAGAAAGGCTAAGAACCCTTCTCTCAAAGGTCCCACTGACAAAACGTACAACCATTTCCTGAAATCAAACGCCTCAATTGGACTTCTCCCATAAAGTTTTCTGGAATGCAGGCTTCTGGACTACAATTCCCAGAAGGTGAAGCGGCCCGAGGCCTATCCCGAATTAGGACAATAACTATCCAATGGTTCCTGTGTTGTTGCCTGACAGCCTACCATTCCCAGCGTGCCTGGCGAATGTTTATGCCTTGGGGACATTATGGACGCCAAGTTATTGCTGGGATCTGTAGTCGTTTTGTTTACCTTTAGGGGTTGGCTTCCTTTTATCGTATCTGAGGTTGGGTTCCAGGAAAAAAAAAGCAGGAAATGCAGCAATTAAACACACAGGGCCCCTACATCTGTTCCTAACTCGGTCGGGTCCCCGAGCACGCGAGGGCGGAAGTGGTGGCGGCCGGCGCGGCCGGAAGTTCAGATCAGCTGATGGGGGAGGCGGTGCCGCAGCCACCGAGAGGCCCCGGCTGCCGAGCGCTTCGTCCGGGCCCTGGGTGTCGGAGACTGACCGTGATCCCCGTTCGCACCTCGCAGTTGGGCGAAGCCCAGTCCCGTATCTCTCCCAGGCCTGAGATCCTCGCCCGGCACGGCCGCCCTGAGCGCCCCCGCCACCCCCAGCCCCGGCTCGCCCCTCAGGCCCCGGGCCTCCCCTCAGTCCCCGGCCGGCGGCCCAGGCCCCGGATCCGCGGGGGGGGACCCGGCCCCGGGGGGTGCGGGCCCAATGGAGCTGATGTTCGCGGAGTGGGAGGATGGAGAGCGCTTCTCATTCGAGGATTCGGACCGCTTTGAGGAGGATTCGCTATGTTCCTTCATCTCCGAGGCCGAGAGCCTCTGCCAGAACTGGCGGGGATGGCGCAAACAGTCAGTGGGGCCCAATTCCCCCACCGGCGGCGGTGGCGGAGGTGGCAGTGGCGGTACCAGAATGCGAGGTGACGGAGAGCGGAGGGTGGGGGGGGGAGGGGCGCGGGCAGGCCCTGCTCTGGCCTTGCTCGAGAGCTGTCTCTGCTCGGGAGGTGTCCCGGACTATGAGCTGTATCAAGCTTTGAACGGACTACAGGACTCGCTTCTGTAGTCTTTCTGGGGTGGCTTCTTCACGTGTGTGTGTGTGTGTGTGTGTGTGTGTGTGTGAGAGAGAGAGAGAGAGAGAGAGAGAGAGAGAGAGAGAGAGAGAGAGATATTTGGTATGATGGCTGGATCTTTTGTCGTGCATTTGCCTTAGAACTGGATAAGAAAGACTATCCTCTTGAACTTTGGAGTAGTTAACCGAGTTTCAGCCTAAGGCAAGCAAGAAAGTAGACAGAGAAGAATGTAGGGGGTGGCTTGTGAAGAAGTGACCATTTGAGATGTGCCACCCCATTGCAAAGTGCACTGGGAGCTTCTTGATTCAGGGTGATCTCTGATCCCAGGCACCAATTAGGGATTCCACTCAGAAGAAAGTGGAGGTGAACGGATCTGTGAGGGAGACTCCATAGCTCCACAGGTTTAGGTCAGAGGCTTGGTTCCGGGCCATACTGAGTATCTGTCAGAAGCCAAGGCTGAAACATTGGATTAGAGCCTTAGATTTCCATCATCTGGGCCCTGGCGAAGGATGTGGGTAATTGTCTCTGGAGCCTCCCTATGAGCGCTCTTCCTGGTTCTCACTGTGAGTTTCTTTCATACTTGGGTCTTTCAGTGAATTAACCAGTTAGTGCTGTAAAGAATTTTGCTTTAAAGGGGATGGAGGGAAGAGTGATGATAAGAGAAGCTCTGTAGGCTCAGGACTCACCAAATCCTTTCCCTGCCTTCCTCATGGTGCAGTTCTTGTCCCAGGCCTCAATGGAAGCTGACCTTTTCAGCAGTTGAGGGGTTTGATTTGTGATTCCACTCTGGCTATTCCAAGGGCCCTTTTTCCAAACTGCCCTGCAGAGATTTCTAGCACCTCTTTGGGACAGAGGGAAATGCACGTGTGTTAACTCTGTAGGAGTGGCAGTATTCAGCTTAGGTTGGAGAGAGAGCATGTGCTCTGTATACATACACACAGAGGTCATAGACAGCTTCACTGTGGCTCTTCTATGGCTTCTCTGCGTCTTTCTTATTTGCATGTGGGTGGCCTAGAGGCATAGAGCTCCCTCACTTTGAGGGGAGTATGAAGTCATGGTGGTGAAGATTTTTAACATACTGACATCTTCCTGAATAAGTTAAAATCTAGGAAAACATGTCATTCCCCTTCACCCCTCTCCTGTCCGGGGCTACCCTCAATTGCTCATTTGTAAAATAAGGAGATTAACTGTTAAAAAAAAAAAAAGGTTCCTTTCAACTCTGTGACTTTCTGTTTTCTAATCTGACTAGCAGTTTGGTGAGATATGCAGTCTGTTGTGTTTCACTGATTTTGATTAAAACACTAGAAAACCTTGAGTGGTAACTCCATCCTACTCCAGGTGATTCCAGGAGTACCAGCTGAGTTCCCTTGGGATAGCCTGTCTCTCCTCCCTGCCCCCAGGGCTGCCCCCAGGGTTCAGGTGTGCCAAGGGAAGTGCAGCCTCTCTTGTTTCTGGAGGTCCCTCTTTTTGGGCTGTGGTCTGTCTTCCCTCCTTAAATAGAAGTCTGGAGTCATCTAGAGAAAAAGGGATAGTAAAAAAGCATTTAAAAAAAGAGCGTGTCAGAGGAGAGACATTAACAGTGTAATATGAATCTAAAGTGGTAGATAGATGGAAAATTAGATGCTGAGGCTTGTGAAAGGTGTCACTTGCTAGGGTCCTGAACAACACTCCTGTTTGACCAGGAGTTTCCGGAATATCCCTGATATCTTTTATTTTAGACCTTAGGTAGCAGGCTGTGGGCTGGGGTTGTTTAGCTCCCTTTCCCTGGATGGAGTTTTAAGGGTTAGTAGTGTATCCTGACAGGAGGGTCCTTTGGTTTTTCACTCAGATCTTCCCTTTCTTTCATAGTGAAGGTGGGGCCCAAGATGTGGCACTGTCATTGGCGCCAAGTAATCATGGCTTTTTTCATTTCCCCTCACCTCAACCTTTGTTACCAAAGATGGACTGGTGATCCCATTGGTGGAGCTGTCAGCAAAGCAGGTGGCTTTTCATATCCCATTTGAAGTGGTGGAGAAAGTTTATCCCCCGGTGCCTGAGCAGCTACAGCTCCGAATTGCTTTTTGGAGCTTCCCTGAGAATGAAGAGGATATTCGGTGAGGCTAAAGGACTGATGGTGGGGAGTGGGGTCCTGATATTTCACACAGTGTGCTGGGCTTTCCTCAGAACAAAGGAGATATTGTATTTGGGGCTGTAGTAAGAAGACAAGGGGAGGAGGGAGTGCCTGGGATTTTTCCCAAGAGGGAGTGACACTGGGGAGAGAGTGCCCAGGGCATTGTGGTCTCTGACAGGGTCTGTAGAGGGCATCTGTTGAGCTGTGGCTATGTCTTCCTCTTCCCAGGCTGTATTCATGCCTAGCCAATGGCAGTGCAGATGAGTTCCAGCGAGGGGATCAGCTGTTCCGCATGAGGGCTGTGAAGGACCCACTGCAGATAGGTAAGAGTCCCATCGTGTCCAGTGGCACTCACACTCCTCCCATCCCATGTGTTATGAATTAAGGACTTACTGCAAGAAGCTGGAGCAGGTTGTCTGAATCACTGCAAGACTAGAGTTGGGGGCACAGACTCATGTCTTGATGGCTCTTTCTGACCATACCCATGTTTCTCCCCAGGGTTCCACCTGAGTGCTACAGTGGTGCCACCTCAGATGGTCCCCCCAAAAGGGGCATACAACGTGGCTGTGATGTTTGACCGCTGCCGGGTCACTTCCTGCAGCTGCACCTGTGGGGCTGGGGCCAAATGGTGCACCCATGTCGTGGCACTCTGTCTCTTCCGAATCCACAACGTGAGGCCCTCCCAATTTATCCTGGCCCTATCCTACGCTCCATCCCCCTCTTCTCTGCTGCATGCTTGGCTACAATGTGAGCCCCCTTGCCTCCCCTACTCTGCCTCTCTAGCCCCAGTTCCAGTACCAGCAAGCCTTTCTCAGATTGTTCTGTTTCTCTATCTGTACCCCCCAGGCTTCTGCAGTCTGCCTGCGGGCCCCAGTCTCAGAGTCCCTGTCTCGGCTACAGAGGGACCAGCTGCAGAAGTTTGCTCAGTACCTCATCAGTGAGCTCCCTCAACAGGTGAGTGAGGTGGGCACCCCCTCCCCCAGCTAGCTCCAGGGCTGCATTATCAGCATTCCTATTAGGCCCAGGCTTTCTTGGGTCACCTGTGCCTTTGCTACTTTTCCCCTCAGATCCTACCGACAGCCCAGCGCCTCCTGGATGAACTCCTCTCCTCCCAGTCAACAGCCATCAATACAGTGTGTGGCGCCCCAGGTGAGTGTGGTGAGAAAAGGTCAGGAGGAAGATAGAGAGCTGGTAATGCAGAGCATTGCTTACCAAAGGCTTGCTGTTGTCAGGCCAATCCAGGCCTCTATCTCTAGGTGACTAACTGCCTGTCACTCCCAGACCCCACAGCAGGACCCTCTGCCTCTGACCAGAGTACTTGGTATTTGGATGAATCAACACTTACTGACAACATCAAGAAGACACTGCACAAGTTCTGTGGCCCCTCCCCTGTGGTCTTCAGGTAAATTGGATCTGTTCTTCCTTGTGTCCGGTGGAAAGGGAGCATCCCTCAGGCTATTGACAGATCCTTTGTTCCATCAATGACTGCGCCTCCCACCTTTTGTTCCCTGTGCTGGTACAGTGCCTGGCACACAGAAAATGTCACTTATAAACCAATGGATGATGATAGGTTTATATAGTCACAGAATGGTCTTAGGTAGAGCAGAAGTTACTTTTCTTCCTTTGAGAGGTTGGGAAACTAAGGCAGAGAGAGATTTAGA